TTAAATATCAAATATCCCACTATCACAAATTGACAGATCATCTAGGCAGAAAATCAACAATGAAATAGTAGAACTGAACCAAGCTTTGGAACACTGGGACTTAATAGATGTTTATAGAGTATTCCACCCCAAAAAATCAGAATATACACTCTTTTCGGCTGCACATGGATCATTCTCCAAGATAGACCACATATTGGCTCACAGAACAGGTCTAAATAAATGCAAAGGAATTGAAGTAATTCCCTGTATATTATCAGATCATAGTGCAATCAAACTGGAGATCAATAGCACAAGAAACTGTAGAAACTTCACAAGCACATGGAAACTCAACAACACTCTCCTAAACAAGCAATGGATTACAGAGGAAATTAAAGAAGAAATTAGACAGTTTTTACAAATAAATGAGAATGCCAAAACAACATACAGGAATCAATGGAACACAATGAAAACAGTTCTACGGGGAAAATTCATAACATTGAATGCCCACATTAGGAAAACAGAGCAGGCTCAAATAAACAACTTAATGATGAAACTTAGACTCCTAGAAAAACAAGAGCAAGAAAAACCCAAAGCTCGAAGAAGACAGGAAATTATAAAGATCCAAGCAGAAATCAATGCAATAGAAACTAAGAAAACGATACAAAAAATAAATGCAACAAAGAGCTGGTTTTTTGAAAGAATAAATAAAATTGACAAGCCCTTAGCTAATCTTATCAAAAAAAAGGAAAGAAAAGGCTCAGATCCATGCAATCAAGAATGAAAAAGGCGAAGTCACAACAGATCCAAAAGAAATCTAGAGGATCATGAATACGTACTTTGAGAACCTGTACTCCAATAAAATGGAAAACACAGAAGAAATGGACAGATTTTTAGATACTTATGAATTACCAAAGTTGAACAAAGAAGATAAAAACATTTTAAACACCCCAATTACAGTCAGTGAAATTGAAAATGAAATTAAAAATTTACCAACAAAGAAAAGCCCAGGCCCTGATGGATTCACTGCTG